ACAGTTGTTCTGCAGCAATATAAGTAAATTAAGCCTTGAACGTTTATGCTAAAAATTCCTAAAGGTGTCCCCAACTTTTGTTGATTACAAGCCCTCTGTATAAAAGCAGTGTTGGAACAGACTGTATTACTAAAGTCTAAGCAATATTTGGACAGTATTGTACTGCAGTAAGTAGTAACGTATTCTTCACTCCATAAGACGCACTTTTTTCCCCCCAAAAGGGGGCAAAAATGTCTGTGCGTCTTATGGAGCGAATCCCTATCGCCCGATGCCTGGGACATGCAGTTTCAGGCGCCGGGCGAGTAGTTTCTTTGTACATTCAGCCCTGCTCCAGACAAGCAGAGCTAAAGCGTGTACAGCACGCGTTTAGATCTCTTGTATTAATCAGATCAGTTGCATCAAATCGAGCGGCGGCTATCCTGTCCAGGGCCTCCCGCCGTGGTTTTCGGGGTCTCCCACACCTCTGGGAGACCCGTGACCACAGCATAGAAGCTCACCATAGAGCCTGTGTGATCACTGAGACAGGTGGTGCTGTAATCACAGCGCAACCTGCCTCAGCTGTCACTAACTGCAGCTGCTGTCACAGAACCCCTGTGTCCTATGGTCCAGTGCGCCTTATGGAGCGCAAAATACGGTATATTGCTCTCAAAATGGCGAGGAAAAGTCAAATAAAGGAAGACAGAAAGACCAATGTAACCCTAAAAGTGTAGGGATTTCCTTTAGAGAAACTGAAAATAAAGCAGAGTTGTCAGTGAGTACCGTTTCCTGCACTATCAAAAGGCACTTGGAAACTGGAAGAAACTCTGACAGGAAGAGGTCTGGCAGACCCAAAGCCACCAGAAAATCAGAATACAAGTTTCTAAAGTCAACAGCTTGCGTGAAAGGCGGCATGCAGGACCACAGCTTCAAGCACAGCTTAACACTGATCGAAGTAAGCAAGCCTCAGTTTCAACTGTGAAGACTTCCAGCAGCAAGTTTGACAGGTCGAGTGGCAGTAAGAAAGCCATTGCTAAGATGGCAAAGTAAGAAAGAGAGGCTTGCCTGGGCCATAAAGCACCGCCTACTGAAGACTGAAAGAGGTCTTACAGACTGATGAATCAAAATTTGAGATCTTCAGTTCATCATGCAGGGTTTTTGCATGCTGTTGAGTAGGCGAAAAGATGGTTTCTCGATTTGTGTGACACCAACTATCAAACATGGAGGAGAAAGCGTGACGTTCCGAGGCTCTTTTGCTGGATCCCGAGTTGAGAACTTGCACAGAGTGAGTGACATCCTGAACCATAACTACTACCACATCATTTTGCAGTGCTATGCAATACCCTCTGGTGTACGCCTAGTTGGTCAGTGGTTCATCCTACAACAAAATAATGGCCCAAAACAAAACCTCCAGGCTGTATCCGAAAAAACTTAGAAAAAAAGAACAAGAAGGTAGGCTTCAAATAATGGAATAGCCAGCACAGTCTCCAGACTTAAACCCCATCAAGCTGGTTTGGGGTGAACTGGACAGAGTGAAAACAAAGCAATCTACAAGTGCAACACATTTGTGGCAACTTCAGCAACAGTGTTGGGAAGAACTTCCTAAACAATACCGTATTTGATTTCCGTTGTAGAAAGAATGCCATATGTGTGTTCGGCTGTTATGTCTGCAAAACGTGGCAACTTTGATAAGTCAAAATTTTAGATTACATTTTGTTAAAGAAAACTATTCCATGAAATCATTTGGATGTCCAATTGTTTATTTGTTCTATGCTTTATTTGCAGAGTACATTGAGACATTACACTGTAAATTTCAATAAAAACTGGAAAAAGTGGGGTGTCCTAAAATATTTGACCGGTAGTGTACTGTGCATCTCAAAATTTAATGGCCGCTTACAGGTAAGCGAGCTCTCAATTTATGCCACGCATTGCAAGAAATGTTCCATAGTTGAGATTATTTTGGGAACTAATTGAGTAAACTTTGTTTGCTTGCAATGATGCACAGGGTTTTTTTAAAAAGGCTATGCACCATACAATTGGCATATGTATTTACTCATGTATCTGGGATATTTGTATATACTGTATATGAGCAAGAATGTTTTCATATTGATATTTGTAATATGCATTATTAAGAAATATTCCTTCATTTACAACTCTGTCTAGTTTTCTCCCCGATGGGGTGGGACCAAATCATCATTCCCAAAGATGTTTTTTTTTTTAATACACAGAAAACAAACAGGACAAATACTATACATAGCTTTTAGAATTAATAGATCCCACTGAAATTCTTTAACATGTATTTAAAGTCCAAAATTTTTGTTTTTGATAGAGTAGGGAATGGTTAAGACCCCTGTAAGGTTTTTTTTTGCATTAATGTGTTTGTTCCACCTTGGTAGTTTCCCTTCACTTCGGTCTCAAATACACAGCAAGAAGTAATGGAAATCTCCTCTTAGACAGTAGTCACCAGAACAAGAATTCTCTCACCTCCAGTTCTTGAGACAACCTAAAAATTTTGAATTTTCCATTACTTCATGTGCTAGGGGGCAAAGGTCATCAGTTAAAAAAAAAAAAGAGGGTGGATCCTCCCAGTGGGGACACAGACAGCAATAAAGCCCTAACAGGGGTTGTAACCCCTTTTACATTCTATCCAAAAGTAATAAAATTTTGGCTTTACATACACTTTAATATGGATTTTATTTACCTATTGTAAACAAAAAACACAAGATTAGATTTAATTCTAAAGGCTACAACTTTCTTTTAACTTTTTTTTGGACTTTTCACAATCAGGGGGCATTCCCCAATACATTATTTATTAAAAGTGTATGCCAAACACTTATCTTCTCCCTAAACTTCAGGTAGTGGAGGGTACAGTGAGAGCAGAGGAACTTGTGCACTGGAAGACAATGGAGAGGCGAGGAGCATGGCTTTTACCGCAATATGTAGTAGTGCGCACACAAGGATTGCTCCGGTGGACACTGTCAGAAGAAGACACTGAAAAATCGGTGTGGTGGCACTACCTCTGAGAGGACAACCTGAATTGGGTGGACGAAAGAAAATGTATACATCAAAGAGGCATCACATAAGGTAAGTCTTTACTTCAGCATTAGAAGAACACACACACACAAAAAAAAAAAGATGTAATATCACTTTAAAACATCATGTGAAGCTTGAGCAGAAAATCCACAAGTATGACGGACATGGAAAAGGTTAGGCAATATAGGTTTAGAGAACACTATAGTAAAACATTACCTGGTGATATTAAAGCATAACTCCAGACAAACAGCTTGATGCACAGTGGGCCTCACCTCCTTTCCCATAGCATTTTGGTAAGTGCACGTATTTATCTGCAGCTTCACTCTACCAAAATCTTTGCTGTGCAGTCTGGCCAGTCTTTTGCAAAATCCTTCCATTCAGCAAGCGTTACTCTTGCGCTAAGCCGGTCACACAGCAAACATCAGGGGGGAAGCAAGTGATCATGTGCACTTACATTTTCAGGACATACCTTACCATTTTAACTATCCTGTGGCATTGTTAACCAGTACCCACTTTATTGTTCATGTTCAACATCCATTACTCACAGCATAGAAATTTAGAGAAGCACACAGGACACACTAATCCCAAACTTCAATGCCTTTATTAGGGTTCATGGGATTTTGCAGGCAACACTAAATAAGGCTACGTTCACACTATGTGCGGTGACTTACATTTTTCTACACAAGATAAATACAGGTCACTACTAGGGTACATAGAAAACCAATGTTTTCCATGTGCCCGGTTGATGCCACAACACTGGTGTGTTGTGCAGTGTGCTGCAGGAAAATGCAGACATGCTGCATTCTTCCGATTCAGGTTGTGCTCTCATCACAGCGGTGTGGGGACCTGAAAGGAGTGTACTGTTTGTGCACTCGAAAAAGTTAGAAAAAGAATAAAAAGGTGTAATGCGCTGAGACAGCAAAGTAAAGGTTTTCTTTAAAGGGAATGAGAGTCATTGGTCTCATAACCGCTTCACTGCAGACCGTACTAATAAAATTCACAGCTGCAGTCATTTACACTGATCATGTTTTGAGATCACTATGTACACAACTTAAACCAAATGAAAAGCATAATCCCAGCATTCGTGCGGCGTTGATTAAAACAGTCAAATATGTTTCTGTACTCCAGTCTCGCTTGCCTGGTTGGCCTCATACTGGTTGCTGTTTATGAGAACAGGTGCCAGTATCAATCCAGGGCTACAGCTCATGCCCATAAGCCCGCACAGTTGCATGCGGTTGCTAGAATATATCGAGTCATCTGGCTTAACACACAATATGAATTCCTGTGAGGGGGTGCATAGAGAATAAAACCAGTAAGATGCTACAACTGCCTCCCTCTGGAGCTTATTTAGCCAAGTTAGACATCTGGAGCTGCACAAGACCTTCACAGGATAGTGTGACAAAGTAGTTATACAAGCAACAAAGCAGCACGTCTTAGCTTTCATCTGTACAGTGACATACAGATTTTGATAGAAAGAGCCTGAAAAGAAAAAAAACAGCTACTGCTGCACTTTGTCTTTAGAAAATGCATCATGCTGTTTGACACCAGTGTCATGACTGCACACTATATAAAATGTTTGTTACATAGTATTTGAGGTTGAATAAAGACATTAGTCCATCAATGTGGTATATCTGGATTGTTAAATCGAGATTTTTGCATTAGATGCCCCGTCAATAAAACCACCACTTTAAAACATTTTTAAAAAAAAACTAGATCCAAAATGTATGGTTTTCTTTTAAAATGCATGCTTAGAAGCAAACTTCAACCCTACCTGGAAATGTCAGAACTTTGCCTGTCAAACACAGCTGGTATTCTGCCGTACAAATATGGTTTGAAGCTGCTTGCACCAATTTTTTTTTTTCTATTGTAACTATAGATCTCTTTAACTGGATAGGGTCACATTATCACAGGAACACCATCCAGCACCTTGCAATCATACTATAGGTTTTAGTGTTGATTTACTAAAGCACAGAAGCAACAATTATTAGGACATAGAAAAATGTTCAACCTTGTGATACCCTTCTTTATTACACTAGATATGAAGTACTGATATCATCTCCATACAATCTTCATTACAATAGAATGCTGTACAGTCACTAGGCTGCAGTTTGTACAAAATGATTCACAGCAGCAGAGAACATGGCTTTCTGTAACATAATAGTGCTTGAGTTCATTTTGTCACATCACTTCTTCTTAGTTGCTGCAGCCTCTTCTAGTCGAGCTGCGGCCGCAGCTTGAAGGGTAGTTTGACGCTCCTCTAGAAACTTTCCATACTCTTCTGGGCACAGGCTGCAGAGGAAAACATTAGAGACTGATTAGGGTCTGGCTTATTTTGTATACTTGTTCCAAATTCAAAATAATGAAGCAAGTGTAAGAATGACAGCTTTCAGAAGGAAAAGGTGAGCATTGAAGGCCTCCATGTTTCTCTGACAGATTTTTCTTTCATCCAGATTTCTCATTATCCTATAGTCCAAATGATAAAAAGAACAGGATAACAAGACAACTGAGCTGAAGAGCGCCCCTTTTGTTTTAGAGAAACAGAACTTTCTACTAGAAACATACAGCTTTGTGTTCCATTCTTTAAAAGGCACTTGAGATCTGGCCCAAGGAAATCAACTGTATATTGAAGGATCATTGCCAGTAAATGGCAGCCACACAGCCTTAATGGTTTATATGGCACTTAGCAATGATATGCAGCTATAGTCAAGGCTTGAAAAATCTGCTTTTCATGGACGAGAGGATGGCGGAGCCGCACTAGTAGCTTCCCGGCCGGCCGGCCTGGAGGGAGGTTAACATTCAACCGATCGGGCGTCTCCATAAAGAGGACCCGTCATGTAAATTGGCTATCACATAGGGGACTTCTTAGCCCCCCATGTGATAGCAAAAAAATTAAACGTAAAAAAAAAAAAAAAAAGAAGAGTAATAAAAACAGTGTGGCTTTTTTTATGCTTTAATTTTTTTAAGTCTCCCGCCCCCACATACACACAGAAACATGCGTCAGTCGTGCCTACGTGCTAAAACGACAATTACGCCTATTGTGCCACATGTTACATATCGCTGCAAACGTCGGAGTGAGAGCAATACTATTAGGGCCATTAATCACTGATAACACTAAACTGATAAACAGTAAAATCGTTTAAAGCGTCGCCCATGGCCAATTTTCGGTGTGGTCGTTTTCTGCAATTTTGCGCGCGCATGCAATTTTAAGGTTAGACATGTTTGGTGTCTATTTACCCCAATATGACAACAATGAAAAGAGAGGAGCGCTACTACCCAAAATTTCTGACAAATAAATTGATTGTTGTTAAGTGTGGAAAAGAGAATACAGTCACTCACTGTTGGAGGTCTTTCTTATTGGAGAAGCAATATGATGATCACATCTGTGTAGGAAAAGTTATTTTCATTTTCTATGGAATGATAGCCGGACCATGACATCTCTGGTGAAGAATGGAATGATGATAGCAGCTGTGTGGGAAAAGTTCTACGTGAAATGGTGGTACGATGTTAAGCAGGGGGGAAATCCTTGCGGCTGTCACTTCAAAGAGTGGAATCCTCAGTATGCATCGGTAAAGGACGGACTCAGCTGACCAGGCTGAGCCGTAACGGCAGATCGAAACCGATCCGTGCCGCCAGCGGTTCTGAGGTGCTGTGCTGCTGTTTTTTTGTGGGAAAAAACAGCTACAGTAGCTTTCTCCCGGCTTGACTAAGAGGCGCTGCCTCGAAACACGTAGCCACACAACTGTTCCATCAGTACCGCTCCACCAAGGGGTCAGTAACACTCGGCACCTCCACCTCGATCCACCCTCCTCTGGGTATCATTTTCACCAAAAAACAGCAGCACAGCACCTCAGAACTGCTGGCGGCACAAAGCTCTTTCCATCTGCCGTTACGGCTCAGCCTGGTCAGCTGAGTCCGATCTTTACCAATGCATACTGAGGATTCTATTCTTTGAAGTGACAGCTGCAAGGATTACCCCCCGTTTTACATTGTACCACCATTTCACGGAGAATTTTTCCCACACAGCTGCGATCATCATTCCATCCTTCACTAGAGATGTCATGGTCCAGCTATCATTCCGTAGAGAATGAAAAATAACTTTTCCTACACAGGTGTGGTGATCATCATTTTGCTTCTCCAATAAGAAAGACCTCTAACAGCGAGTGACTTTATTCTTTTCCACACTCATCACCAACAATCAATTTATCTGTCAGAAATTTGGGGTAGTAGCGCTCCGCTCATTCTGACTGGTGGCATTTTTGACTGACTGGTGAGACACCCTAAAATATCTCAAGCCCTGGCTATAATTATTCTGTGCATGTCTCAAAGCGACTGAAACACATAGCTAGTTAACCTGCAGGTCACATTGCAGTTCACAAACTGGCATGGCCAGGGTGTAAAAGTACCAATCTGTGATCACTTTTTCTTCCTCTACAGGAGGAGAAAAATTGTAGCGGGAGGAATATTAATAGGCAGGCTTATGTACTGATCAGGATGTTCACTTTTGTCTACAATTATCAAGTGAAAATATTACAAAATAAAGTCATGGGTGGGTTGCACTTGTTAGGTGAAGTGTTTCTTCATATACAGTACTGTGCAAAGGTTTTAGGCAGGTGTCAAAAAATGCTTTCAGAAATAAAAGTATTAGTTTATTTTTATCAATTAACAAATGGAAAGTAAATGAACAGGAGAAATCCAAATCAAATCAATATTTGGTGTGACCACCCTTTGCCTTCAAAACAGCATCAAGGTACATTCTAGGTAGACTTGCACACGGTTTTTGAAGGAATGAGGCAGGTAGGTTGTTCCAAACATCTTGGAGAACTAACCACAGATCTTCTATGGATGTAGGCTACCTGAAAACCTTCTGTATCTTCCTGTAATCCAAGACAGACTCAATGTTGAGATTAGGGCCATTTTTCTGCACCCCAGTTCCTATGTTTTTGTGAATAGTTGAGTTGTTTACCCTTGTTTCCACATCTGAGATATGGCTTTTTGGCCGCAAGGCCAGAGAAAAATGGCAGCAGGTGCTCTGGACTGAGGAGTCAAAATTTGAAATATTTGGCTGTAGGAGGAGGCAGTTTATTTGCCGAAGGGCTGGAGAGTGCTATAATAATGAGTGCCTGCAGCAACAGTGAAGCATGGTGGAAGTTCCTTGCAAGTCTAGGGCTGCATTTCTGCAAATGGAGTTGGAGATTTGGTCAGGATCAATAGTGTCCTCAATGCTGAGAAATACAAGCAGATACTTATCCATCATGCCATACCATCAGTGATTGGCCCCAAATTTATTCTGCAGCAGGACAACGACCCCAAACATACAGCCAATGTTATTAATAACTATCGTCAGCGTAAAGAAGAACAAGGAGTCCTGGAAGTGATGGTTTGCCCCCTAGAAAGTCTTGGGTCTCAATATTATCGCATTTTATCTGGGATTACATGAAGACACAGAAGGATTTCAGGCAGTCTACATCACAAAATATCTGTGGTTAGTTCTCCAAGATGTTTGGAACAACCTACTTGCCGAGTTCCTTCAAAATCTGTGTGGAAGTGTACCTAGAAGAATTGATGCCGTTTTGAAGGCAAAAAGGGTGGTCACACCAAATATTGATTTGGATTTATTTTCTGTTCATTTACTTTTTTTGTTGATAAAAAAAAATATTAACCCTTATTTCTGAAAGCATTATTACTTTACAGCATTTTTTTCACACCTGCCCAAAATGTTTGCACAGTACTGTATGTCTGAAGGGGATGACTATGTTGTCACCTTTTCTTTTGAGGAATGGACCCTACATGACCTTAAAATGTGGCAAGTTGTGCATACTTATGATGACTGGGCATGCAATGAAGCTATGCAATAGAGAAGGAAGACTTGTTGGCGACTTTCCACATAACCCCTTTATTGAAGTCCATATCTTGCCAGAGCTTTTTAGAAGTTGTGGTTATAGTAGGCATGGTTAGACCCTACTTTTTATGTATGTGTCCAGTTCAGATTTCCCCGGCCGCCTCAGGTGACAAAAAAAGGCTAGGGACACCACAGGATATGCCAATATGTCCACAGATCTTTCCAGTTAGGCACAGAATTGTTAAAAAAAAAAATCTTGACTCCAAAGTTCCTGCCTAAAAATATTTATTTGAAAGCCTGGAAAGGTCTAAAGAAATATCATGTTCCAGGAACATCTGCACATCTGTCAACTGGTTTAAGCTGTATGTATGCATCTCTCACAAACTAGGGAACAAAATCAATCAAAAGGGGTAGTACAGCAGTTTTTACCCTCGTCAGCTGCCTCAATGCTAGGGTTCTTCCTCTGTGCCTGCTGCATTTGTAATAGTAGTATGCCTGCCCAATCTACGAGTTAATAAAATGCAATGCAGCAGCAGCAACAATCCAGCATGCCTGAGATATCACCTAAGAGTAGGTAAACAACGCACAATGTGCTGGATCAGTGCTTAAGTTTGTCTGCGTTAGTTTCTGCATCCTGTTATGTGAATAATGACTATGCTGCCCAGTCTTCAGGAGTTTGGTCATCTAATTTGCCTGCCTTATCCTTATCTGTGATATTACGGTCTGCCTTTTGAATGTCTTAAAGTGTATTTCCACTTTCACGGCCAAACTGGGATAAAACCTATTTTATTTGTATTACGTGTTCCCATTCACATAGCATAAAACAAAATATTTAAAAAATAATTCTTGCAGTTTAAATTTCTTTTACTTGAGTTTCTTGGCTTCCTTCCTAAGGGTTAACATTTCTACTTGTTTCTCATTTGTAATGTTAGCAGGGGTTGTGGAGTTTGTTCATTATAGTTTGTAAAGTAGATATGAACGCTGCCTGTCCTAATAAGGCTTAAAAGGATTACAACCACGGCTTGTGCATTGTATGTTAATAAAAATGTAATGAGAAACACAATGCTCAGTCCCAAGTCTTTCTATAAGGACAGATCACTTTGAGGGCGATCAGAAAAAATGTGGATTCATCTTGCCTGCTGAAACAAAAACATCCAAAAAGGTAAGAAACATTTTTTTTAAAATATATTATTTTTTGTTATGCTGTGTGAGTGGGAACACACACACATTCTCAAATTTGATTGCAAAACTGGAAATAAACTTTAAGAAAACCTGTCACAATCAAAAAAGCAGCGAGATGATCTCATAAGTTGCTACTGCTCCCCTGTCCAGTCACAGGCCATTGAGGGTTCTAGACTAGAATGCAATGATTAAATGTAGTCTGCACCTAGCTATACAGTATGGTGGTCTCAAAAGAGTGTACAAATTCCAAGAAGAGGTGAACCTTGAAGGGGAGAAATATTTTATCAACCTTAAACTTTTTGGCAGTTAAGATTTTTTTTTTTTATATAGGCATTTCAACTCTGTAGCAGTTTGCTTGGTGTTAAGTTAGAAGATGATTGTTTCCTATTTGCTAAATAGAGGGGCCATTTACCTCTACCGTATATGTCAGATTCAGCTTTTTTTTTTAAACTCAAATTTTCAGGTTTTTTCCTTATATAGTATAAAAAATTCAATTTGTTATTAAATGCCACCAAAAAGAAAGCTCTGTCTAAACCAGGGGTCTCAAACTCAATTCACTCGGGGGCCACTCAACAAATTTGTTTCTCTCATGGGGGCCGCTTGCCAAATTTCATACTTTAAAATAAAATGTAACTATATCCGGTTTGGTACTACAGACTAATATACACACACAAGGCGGCCCCATTCATATCTGTAGGTTTAGGTGCGATTAGGGATTCCTGCATCAGAAACTTGTGTTTTCCTGCAGCAGGAATCCCTAACCTGGCGTTTAAAAGTGGCAGCTATCACCTATTCAAGTTAATGATCAGGTGACAGCAGCTGCATGTAAACGCCTGCACATAGCATGTAATGGTATGGGATATGATTACAATGCGTCAGGAATCACTCTCCCTGGATGTACAATCATCCGGGGAGAATGATTGATTCCTAACCAAATATAATTTGGTTACAATGTTGCATAACTAAGTAACTGAGTCAAAATATCACAGTGCTGAGAACTGAAAAATGGCCTGGACAGAAAGTGGGTTTAACATTTAAAAGGAGAATTATGAGGCAAGTGATTTTCACTCAACCTCATAATCTTAACCGACCTGTGACAATGAAACTGTCACGGGTAGGCTCAGTAGATCGGGAAGTGAGCGAACACATACAGTCGCTCGCTTACTTCTCGATCTATCCCTGCAGAGTGCCGTGACTGTCACTCAGACTGTCACTCTGCAGGGATTATCCCCCTCCCCTGTCCGATCCTCCAGCGCTGACTGGCGAAACGGACGGGGGAGCACAGTTGGCTCTGCCTCTGGATAGGCAGAGCCAGCTGTCAATCCTGCAGCTGGGTGGATCCAGACAGTATTGGCGGGATCCGTCCAAGGCTGCGGCGTCTCAGTATACTGAGCTTTGGCTCACGGGAGAACGCTAGTTTGTGTTCTGCCGTGACCCTTAGGAGAACTATGGGGAAAAGCCCTGACCCCATAGTTCTCCTTTAACATGCCAGTCTTAGTGGTTAATCACATGGAAAACCCACTCCATCCATCCTGACCACATTACGACTTAAGTTCAAATGTAAAATGCCCCCTGATGTGAAAATATTAACCCTGCAACAGGACTAAAAATGCACAACAGTGTGAATTCCTAGTTCTCAGACCCGCTGTCAAACAGACAAATTATTCAAAGTTTTACGTGGGAAGGGGATGTTGTTTGTACACATGCTTATTGCTGCATTTACTAATTCTCCTCTAACACACACCTTTTTTGCCCACTGTTTGACTCATTACGCTTCCCCCCTTCCTGTCTTTCAATGTTCTGTATGCCCTGACAAAATTTTTTGTCTTATATGTCCCTGTTTCTGTACTCCTTGTTGTATGCATGCATATTTCTAAAAGGAAAACCTCGCCTTCAAAATAAAGAGTTAACCAAAAAAAAGTCAAAGTTTTTGTAAAATTAAACTGACACAAACAAATGCTGCTGAACTCCAGTCACGCAGCTCCCACACAGGTATGA